ACTAACAAATACCCCGTGCTTGTTCCGCTGTCATCGGTTTAAAGATGGCGTACAGTTTTAGAAATGACAACCAGGGACGTGATTTGGGTTCGGGGTGAACAGCGAAAAATGAGACAATCTACCCCCAAATTCTCCCAGGATTTAATCCACTTTTAAATTAAAGCTGGGGTGGCTGGAGCCATTGTTAGAGGCCAATTTATATCCTCCCCCCCCCCCCGAAACTGAAAAGGAAGCTGCATCGCTGATGGTACTGCAAGGTAGTAGTTACCCTTCATCTGTTGAAGAAAATTAATTCCACTTATCTTCTGTTGCCAATTAATTCATACTTATTTCCTCAGATATAACGATTCGAGATAATGCACGTTACGACACACGCCGACAGGAGATTAATGCAAAATAGAAGCCCTAAACCCCTCACCTAAACCTCTCTTATTTCCTGTTGTCACGGAGCTGGCAGTGCTATTGCATAGCCTTGAGTCATATGAGAACCTAACAGCGGGATCGTGACCAGCGCCAAATTACGCAGATTTGATGGTTCCATTTGCAGAAGGATTCCGTTTCAGCTACCAAGCCGTAAACGGTGGTGGCCGGCCATTTGCGTGAGACTTAATGCCTGTTGTTGCTAACATAGGAAGCGTGCTTTTATCGCTCAAGCACTAGTCATTGCTGTTTTAATCGCCTGTTGGAAATAGGCTACGTTACATATGCAGGACGAATCGTTGACCGTGACGGACCGTGACGTTTGCGATTAGGTGTAGCGACGGGGAGGAGGTATGATAGCTCCTCCACTTTTCGTGAAAGTTGTCCTGGAGCCATGACTTTCACGACGCTTCTGCCTTTGGTAGATAATTGTGCCTGTGTCTATCTTCGTGTGCCCGCATCTTTGTTTCGGTTTCCGTGTAAAATAAGCATCACGGCGAGGCACGAAAATATTTCACTCAAAAGGAAAGATTCACTGCGTTTATTACTCAACTAGGGTTGTCCAGACCGCTTTATAATGTCCACGTTACACAAATACACACATGCACATGCATGTCCGACAAAGGCAGAAGAATGGCTACACGCACGTGAACACACAAAGACGCCGATACGCAGAGATACAGGCCCAGCCGGCCAGGTTGAGATGCTGCGCCATCATTAAACATTGACCAGTGAAAGGATCTGTTTCCTAGGCTCGGACTTCGGTAAGGTCACACACATAATTGCACCGATTAGTGGTTCTGAGAGGGATCGACAAATGACATCTTTGGAGAACTTTGAGCAAAGGAATCATCTGGTCAGTGCTTTAGCTCGGATATCGCTTTCTGGCATAATTAAGATGAGCGTGAGCTTAACTCAGGAGCTCTTTCTCACACTGAGGAAAATGGCCAAAAATAGTCAACATATTTCCATTTGAAACTTCTTCAGGACTGAAGGAGTAATAGGCCTGAAGAAACTGCAACGTGGCATATATTGATTTGCCTTGTTAGTGTTTTTCCCTTAGGTTCAGCACAGGGTAACTTATACACTTAATATCAGTGCCTGCAACGCTTGCCTTGAAGGAAGTGGGAACATAGACGGCTCAGGGTCTGTTGGGGTACACCAAATGTTTGGAGAAATAAGAATGTTATGCTCGTTCTGGTAAAAACGACATCGGGCAATTTAGGGCACGCTCGTCCTTTAAAATGGAGCATTTTCGGAACCGCCTTGGTCTTGACAGACATGGCCTACAGTCGTCCTTCAATATACCAATATATACCTTCAATGTAGTAAGCATTGGTCACACAGAGGTATTGAGCAATCATTGGGATCCCTTATGCGAATACTCGACGACGCAAGGCAGTGCTCATGATCACGACTGGACAGCGCTCACTTGTCCCCTCGTCCACTTGACTTGGCGTGTCCCTGCCTCGTTTACAGTGAAAACCTGACGCGCGATACTTGCGCAGAAAGTCTGGAACCAGCCACGTGCCGTCACCACCTTATACCTATACCACCCTACACCTGCGCATGACGGCCGGCGAAGTTTCGCTGTCGCCACCGCGGGCGACCAGCCTTCATATTGTCCAAAACAAGCTTGAATATGAGTACGTGTGTCTATCCAAGAGCTCAGCGTTACCAGCACAGCCAATGTTTGCGTGTCACCACCGATAGGTGGCGGCAATGAGGGGTCACAGGTGCACGCTGCCCCGGAATCATCTCCTGTACCGTATGTAGATATTTGGCATACTTGTTGAGGCATCTTCGGTTTGGGACGGTAGTGCGTCCCCAGAAATTCGCCCAGGAGGGTACCAAATTGGGCCATCTCAAGGGCCCTTTCGGTCAGATTCGCTTTTCGTCGTCGGTTCAGGATCCTGTTTTGATACTTCGAAGGCCCATTTTTATATTTCAAAAGCCCTACCGGCGTCTCAAACAGCCAAAAATGGCTCAGAACCTCGGGACCGAGGGCTCCTGCCATCTCCTTGGAAGAGGGCATGACCCCAAAAGTCCACCTCCCTCCCCCCCCCCCCCCCCACTGGCTACGCCACCGAGACCTGCGGCTCGGACGAGCTCAATTCTCTGGTATTTTTTAGCGGGCGCCCCGGTAGGTCCGTGACGTCACTGGCTCACACGAGGGAGAGTAAAGGAATGTGGCGCTGGTTTTGCCCATACAAACAGCTCTGTAGGGGCGTAGCAGTGGCGATCCCAACAAAAATATTACATGCACTTGAAGAGCATAAGAAGCCGGTGGCAGCGACAGACAAAAGCCAAGGGATGTAGAAACCGTCACTGAAATCTATCTGAAGGAGGTCCCGCGGGCGAGCTGCCTCGGGGCTGGCGAATGCCGGGGTCACACGCAGCAAAGCCGGGGTCGCGCCGGGTCAGCTGGCGGCACGATCAATCAGTGCCGCCCGAGCTCGTTAGCATCCCCACCGCGCCACGCATCGCCAAACGGCACAAGACGGACGCTCTAAGCGGCAGGTGCGCATAGCAATGATCTGGTTAACAACGCTAGCAGCGATTAAAGAGCCAGGTGAATCGGAATGGTTCACGGCGACTGGGGGGTGAAAACACTGAGATTGAACCCACACAAACGCTCGTTTAAGGTGTAAGCCGTGTCAGCTCTGTTTAGCTACGCGATTGAACAAGATGAGCCGCAGGCTTTAGTGGATGGTGTTGGAAAAACAGACATGAATGAAAGGAGAGAAAAACTCACTGAATGCTGGCAGCAGACGGACGAGCTCGTCGGGCCCCTGAAGGCGCCGTTACTCAGCGCCTGGACCACTGCCGCGCCTCACAAACACACGGGTCTCCCACGACCAACCCGGTGATGAATCCGACTTTCTATGCTGTTAGAAACTACGGCATTATTGATTGTACCGTGTCATTTGCGGAGAATTCTTGGTCGGGCGCGCGGTCTGCCACACGCTGGCGCGGCTTGGGGCGCCCAAGTGCGCGCCGTCCGTCCTCGTGTGGAAGGGCAGCCAGCCAGTGACGGGAAGACACTGCTGGGCGTGACCGGGCGGCCCTCGTTTGTAATGAAGCGATCGATCGTGCGGAGCGTTGAAATTACGCGGTGCTCTCGTACCGAGACCCTGCTACGGGATATGAGAACAAAGCCCGAGGTAGGTACATAAAAGGCCCACACAAAATGGCCCACGCGATTTGCTGCCAATTAGGCGATGGAGCTCAAATGGCGGGCCTCTCACTCGGCTGTAGAAGACAGGTACATACTTATAATGAATTGTAGTATTTTTGGTAGATGGTGGCATTCTATTTGATGCTGCACATGTAATCCTTCCTTGTTTCGAGCGTTGGCTATATATATATATATATATATATATATATATATATATATATATATATATATATATATTGGCACAAAATGATGCATAGCTACGGCAGACTTCATGTTGAACCAGAGGACACCATCGCATAAATGAGTAGGAACAGGTTACCAAAAATGTCAACTACAACAAAAACAGGTAAGTACGTTGAACGCCAAAAATAAAAAGGGGCCCACCAGCTGACGTCGATGAACGCCCCACTTTTTATTTACTGGTGGGTTAGTTAAGTTGCATGACTAATGCACTGAAAGGCTTGGTTGTCTTATTCCGTTTCGGGAAATATGCTCGGTCTATTGAAATTTTCAGGTAAGGCACCATCTGTCAAGTTTAATGAAGTGTACGATATTGGACCCGATGGATTCGTCTTGAACGAGAATTGATTTACTATTTATTTCCCCTTTACTGGTGTCCTGTACAATAATGCAATGCTACGTAACCAGTGTATTGGATGGTTCGGGTAAATGCATGAAGAATGTATGTGGTACGAAGGACAGAGTCGGAACAACATTCAGCATCCAAGACTTGCCCTTTCACCTTACGGCTCCATTCTACTTCCACAAGAGCACCACATTGTACGTTAATCTGCTTGTCTGGCAGAATTCAGCATATCAACGAGAATATCTTCAGACGCAACCAGAAGGTAGGAGGACGCAGCCTCAGGAGCTGCGCCCACATTCGGGATCTGGGGAAACCGGCAGGGTGCCTGTACTTCCCCCACAAAACGTGTAAAATAATGCATGGGCATCGCAGTCGATAAAATAATTTGGCCGTGTGCTGCGAATTTCGGGGCGCATGGCACCCACGCGCCATCGCTAAAGCAGATGCGGACAGACCCCAGCACACTGCAGCGCTCCCATCTGGTTGGATGAAAGTTCTTCTGACTTCGTTTTCGACACAGTCAGCTTCCTGGTCCCGTTTCAATAGGTCGTGCCTCTAAGAGCAGCTCGCAACGGGTGGTGACGATTGCTTTGCCACATAAACTCATTCACCACACGGAAGGTCACACAAAGCACATCCCGCGGTCGCGAAAATACGTCTCACTCCGCAGCTATGCTCACAGGCGACTCGGGATCGGTGGTCTAAACAGGCCAGACCGCCGGGCCGGCTTCTCCACGGTAATCCTCAGGGCGCGTCTCCCTGCTCAGCACGTGACCCGTCACCTGATGACCAGGTCAGGTCGTCGGCGCAGCTCACCTCGGATGGTGTCGGCCGACATGACGGCGGCGGGCGTCGGACAGCGGGAGCCCGCCGGCAGCAGGCAGCTGGGCACCGACCCCACCTTGCTGACCTCGGCACGGCCTGCGGGCACGCCGGGGTCAGGGATCACTGGTCCGGTCAGCTCGGCAGGGAGCGCCGCCCGCCGCCAGTCATCGGCGGAGGAGAAAGCCCCGACAGCGGCCGACCGGGTCAGCACGTGCGTGACATCCGCAGGTGCGTGCTGATATCAAGACACGCGCAAGGAAAAGTGCCGGCAGTTATCCACACTCAGCCCCTCACTTCCGAGACCTGTCATTAAACCTTTCAAGAAAAGGTCCTAGAGTAAGCACCAGACGAATTATTGACTAGGTCTGTTACCTGTCGTGACAATTTGATTCCTACATCACGCCATGCGAGAGGTACACACGGTCAGTGAAATGACACTGCCCCCGGAATTCCTCACATTGGGGCTCAGTATCGCCTTTGCATGTGTACCAATGATAACTCCCGGGCAAGGGACGCTGCTGTGGCACTGATAACCGCAGACATAGCATATGTGTCAAAACAACCCGCGATCAATCTGCCAATGGACACGTGTGGTTGGGGCGGACGACACCGCGTGCAATCGTATACCGCAGCAACGACCATTGGGCTATCATGCGTTTTGCAACTGCGAAAGTGTGATGCGATTGTCGGGCAAGCCCAGCGGGCGCTGAGCCGTGACGTCACATGCGCGTTGTCGCCAAATTCAGTCAGACGCTCCTGCGAGAATTTGTTTGAGATCGCAAGCTTTCAGGGTTATCTTGACGCCCTCGTCGTGTTTATCGATACCGTTCTCAGGCCCGGAACGGGGAGAGGCTTTCCAGCAGAGGGTAGCGTCTGGGCAATAGCACTTGTCCTGTGAGAAAACTGACAAGTTGCCCGTTTTGACACTTGCATTGCGTAGTTTTTGGTATTCACACGCGTGCTTTTCGCCGTCTGCGCTTCAGCCGCGCGGCCGGAACAGGGGCGGACGGGACACGCTGCGGGCCCGCCAGCGGACAGACGGGAGCTGCGGCCAGAGCGGAGCGCTGCCAGCGGACCGGGTGGCGCCGCCCTGCCGTGACTCAGGTTCGTCACCAGCTGTCATGGTCTGAATACCTGCCTCACTAACGCGGCTCGGCTGCTCGCGTTCGAGGTAAGCTCGCCGGCAGCCGGCGGGAACGAATGAGCCGCGCCTGCGGTGGCCGCCGGACGGAGCGTATTATATAATTTGTCAGACATCGCTCGCTTGAGACGCTTTCAAAACAAAACGTCACGCAGTGACCGAGGTCGAACTGAATTAAGGTCTACGCTGGTGACGCAGCGTTGAGTGTGGCTGGGACACATCTTGGTTTGAGAGATCGTTTAACAAGGGTAGCCCCTGCCCGGTCGCGAAATTAGTTGGAAATTTTGTTTCGCCGGCTCGAAATTGTAGCTTGCCAATAAATTGCCAGCGCGAAGCTGCCAGCTTGAAATCTCGTGAAATTAGTGAGAGCTTTCGAGGTGGCGGTCCTGCCTTCCGCGTACTCCGGTCAGAGGTTGCACCGGGCCAACCACATACCAGGGCAACAAAGCGCCATAAAGTCTCACAATGGACCGCTGAGTCTGAGCAGCATTCTTGCTAGGTGCGTTAATGCACGCTGGCGTTTTCAGGCAGTGATATGAGCATTTTCACCGGTGACCCCACCGACTGTAACTCCAATGAACAGCGACGGTTTTACAAAAGATGTCCCCCATCTGACGTCTCAGAGCGGTGTCCGTTCCTGAAAGCTAGAGGTCGCATGTCACTACGCCACGTCACGACCTGACTCAAGCTCCATGTCAGCATTTCTGCCGGGCTGTTCAACAAATCAGATGAACGCACCACGCAGCGAAGCCTGCGACATACAAGTGCTTCCCTTCCACACGCGCTATAGCTATAGACACCCGCCAACGCACCGAGCAAGTCGTACAAACACCTCGACCTCGCCCCGTCCGCATATCACGAGTACCGTCCCCGCCCCCCGCGGCACCCACCGGCAGTATGCGACGCCTGCGTCCGCGCGGGACACGGCACAACAGCACCACGCGGCGGCGTCTCGGCCGTCACGCCCGCACTGGAGCCGCGGCGTCACCCCCGCGCACACCGACCGCACAGCCGCCAGCCGGCTGTGACGTCACGAGACGCACCGGCGCGGCCGGTGCGTGACGACGACCGGGCAGCCAACGGTACAGCCGGCCTGGGAGGGGACGGCCCGGCGTCACTGTTAGGGAACCGCGGTCTAACGCCAGGGGACGTCAGGGGACGTCAGGGGAGCATGGTCTAACGTCAGGGGAGCATGGTCTAACGTCAGAGGAGCATGGTCTGACGTCAGGGAGCGTGGTCTAACGTCAGGGGAGCGTGGTCTAACGTCAGGGGAGCATGGTCTAACGTCAGGGGAGCGTAGTCTAACGTCAGGGGAGCATGGTCTAACGTCAGGGGAGCGTGGTCTAACGTCAGGGGAGCATGGTCCAACGTCAGGGAAGCATGGTCTAACGTCAGGGGAGCATGGTCTAACGTCAGGGGAGTATGGTCTAACGTCAGGGGAGCGTGGTCTAACGTCGGGTACGACGGTCTCACCCGCGGGAGATCCGATCTAAGGTCAGGGCGGTGTGATCTAGTGTTACCGCTACGCAGCAGAGTATAAGCCAGAGCAGCATCGTCTGGTGCCAGAATAGGAGTCTCAAGCCGATCCCACCGTCTAAAGACGTAGCACAGCACATCTCAGCCGTCTAGCATTAAGAGTATTTCTGGGTAAAGACGCAGAGCTGTGAATACCAGAAATAGCATATCACGTGCGACCACACGGAAAACTTCGCTCTAAAGCCCGTTTGCCATGGTTGCAGCTCTCAACAGGTAAATCATCATGTCACGAGCGGCGGAGTCTCCTGTCACGGGACTGTATCGGGACTCGTCGCCTGGCACCCGGAGTGGCGGAGCCCGCGGTCACAGCTGGTCTGGTGTCAGCGTTTCGTCAGAGCGTCCCCACACGCCTCACCGCGCAGCCCAGACAGCCGCCCAGCCCCCAGCACGCAGCCCCGGCTCTCCGGTCTCTCCACGCAGTCCGCGCGAGACAGCCGCGGCAGCCCGAGGCACACCGCGCCTCACACCTATCGACCGGGTCCGTATCACCTCATTGTCACCGCTGTGTGTCAACAGCGGCGGCCGACCTCAGGCGGCGGCTGGTGCTCGCGGGTCGCCGTCAGGCCGGGTCAAAACGGCACGCCGGGTGGCGCGGGTCGGCTCGTGACCCGTGCACACGCGGTTGTGCACCACGCCGAACCGGGCAGCTGCGATCCACTGCGCGAGTGTCGCGTGCCTTCTGCGGCGATCGGCACGCATGTGGAGATGTACACATGTATTGCAGCTGTGCGCGTGACAGTTACAGAGTACCGGAAACCACACCAGTGCCAGTGCCCGGCCGCCAGCGGCGACTGGGCAGCGCCAACCCCGGACCGAACAATGGCCCACGCAAAGACTGCAGGCACGGAAGACGGTCCGATGCAGCAACACGCTGTCTTTGACACATGTTCACGCAGCTGAAACGCAGGGCCGATTTCACTGAAACATGACAATGATGGCATTTGTGGCCGTGGCGCGCACGTGCGTCTAAATAGACCCTGTTTCCATTGCATTCTTAACATGGATGTGTTACTTGGAACAATAACCACAAATCTCACAACTTATGCATTAGGTGTTTACATAACAACAATAGTCGTTAAGCAATGAAACAAAATATCTTGCTCACGAAGGTCAGCTGATAAAAACTTTGCTTTATTTCCCGGTTCACGCAGTTAACTGCGCTCCAAAAAAAAAACAGGGTTCCTTAACCCAGTTTCAGCAACCTATAAAACGGCAACAATAATCACAAACACAACGCAAAGGCGTGTACACCGACTAGTCCACAGCGAGTGCCACACCTCATGTGCACAGCCCGCGCTCAGCTCACCCCTCTCCCCGCCCTACGTAAAGATCTTGCCGCGGAGCTGCTCTTTCTCCTGCTCGTGCTTCTCCTTCTCCCTGGCGGCCAGGTCGGCCAGCTCCTTCCTCACGGCGCCGCGGACGCCCGGGTCCAGCTCGGCGGCGCGCGCCAGGTCAGCGCGCGCGCCCTCCACGTTCCAGACGCGTGCCTGCGCCCGACCGCGCCGGAACAGCGCCTTTACATCATCCGGCCGCGCCTCCAGCACCGTGGAGCAGTGCTCGATCACCGGGTAGTAGTCGTCCAACAGCAGCTTGCACTGGGCGAAGTTCAGCAGCAGCGGCAGCTTCAGCTCGTTCAGCCGGTTCCACTCCTCGTCCTGCGGCTTCTCGCACAACATGAGAGACTCGAGGCGACCGAGCGCGTCTGCGTACTGCTCGGCCGCCGCTGCGTGCTGCTGCTGCCGGTACAGCGAGTTACCGCGCTCGCGCAGCTCCGTGACGGAGGCAAGCTTCTCCTCCTCGTTGAGTGCCCACGACTCGCGCTCGTACTCGTGCTTCGCCTCGACAGAGAGAAGCTCGATCGTGACGCGCAGCGCCTGCGGCTGTTGCAGCAGCCGGTCCAGGTCCGGGTAGCCGAGCTGCGGCTGCTGCGCGGCCATCATCATGCCGCAGCACCCGCTGGGCGCCGCCTTCGGCTTGTTGGCCGGGTCCCACGAATCACGCAGCGTCTTGGCCACGATCGGGTAGGAGTGCAGCAGGGCCTTGTCAATGGTGAACTCAGCCACCTCACTGAGTGCCATCGTCTTCACGCTCGCCTCCAGGACCTCCAGCTTGAACTGTTTGCCTAAGATCAATTCCATGGGCTTGTACTTGCGCGAGTCGTCGAGCAAGACTGACTCGCCATCTGTCGTCTCGGTGCGGAAATGAAACTTGACTCGATCGCCGTCGGAAAAGTTCGGCACTGGACCGCGCCCGGCATGCAGGATTCGTTTCTTTACACGCTGATCCATTGGCACCTGCGGGCAGAGTTGGAATGCTTCCAATTTTGAAGAAGAATGGAGCAGCAAGAGCAATGTCCCATTCAAATTTATCAATGATCAGAAATAAAAGCTTTGTAAGATTTTGCTTGTTGTTATTCATGTTACGATGGTTTGAAATATTGGACCTTAAATTCCGGAAAGTTCGTCTTGCAAAACAATCAGCTGGGAAAATGTGAAAGTCCATAAATGAAAACAACAGTCATCTTACATTAATTCCTGTGTTAGAACATGTTATAATTGGCATACAATAAATATAAAATACTTTCAGGTAAAAAGGTTGTATACTCTGACAAAAAAGCAGGAAGATGATGCAACTTTTGACAAATAATATTCAGAGTATGCAGCATATTTTCCTAAGCTGTGAAAGCAAACTGGGAACATTCCAACCCTGCCACATCAGCCAAAGGTTTATCTTAAAAGAGGTAATATCCTTTTATCATTTTTAACAGTTCCACTTTTTCATATGATTTAAAGCAGCTAGCCATTGGCTGCAGCCTTCAAAAAATAATTTTCTAGAGCACTCACACAATGAATATGTATAATTAAAAAGCAATTATTACTTCTACATTGTGTATGTCCAATCAGTCCTGACCATCCCCATGATTTGGGCAGGCCCAGTTTGAATGGTTAACTGCAAAGTGTAGATCATTAAAGTCAAATTTCAACACTATGCTGATACATCTAAGATCAGGCCTGGAATCAGGAGCCTCAACACAAGTCAAAAAAGTTATGGAATGCATCCAGTAAAGTAAGTTGTGGCTCTTGTTGCAAGTTTTTCATGATGTAGCAGCCAATATTTAATTACTGGATATTAGTAATTAGCATGAGTATTAAACTTGACATTAAATGGATCTGGATATGTGGGAATGATGACAGTTTCAGGTCAGGAAGCTGTGTGCCCTTCTTACTCAACTACCAACTTATTGCACATCACTAACATATGTAAGAGAAATATTAATTAATTGAATTATTGATGAATATTAAAGCACATTTTGTGGAATTATCTACCTTTAAGTATTATGACAAAGACATTATTTAATCTTCTGATTACAACTTATCTTTTTCCATTATTTTCATTATTCTTCAAACCATAACAAACCAGATATCCATGCTAACCTTCAAAGGGCAAAAGCTTTTTTCTGCTTTTTACCCTTCAAAGGGCAACATTTTTTTCTACTTTTGTTATTAATAAACATATTTACACTTGATGTTATTGTATGCTTAGAAGCAGCTAGTCATATTGCGTACTCTCTGTGACAAAAAAAAATACACAGCTTCTAATATATTAACATATGTGAGCACAAGTTGTACATATCCAACATATACAAGTATGCAAGATAGTATGCTCATCAAGAAACAATCACCTGTTCATATCCCAACCCTTACCAGACCAGCCAAAGATAGTAATATTATTGGTTATCCACCCTCACTTTAAGTATTTAAACCTCATTCACCTTGTCATGCATGGTAAATATCTGTAATGATGCAACTGGTGTGATATGCACTCAGTGCCATTCAATAAACTCAAAGCAGCCATGCAACCATTCAAAATAAGCAAATGCCACATTCATTGGTCACACAGCATTGAATGGTGCACCCACCTGAAATATTTCACCTAATGGTGTGAGACAACTGACACACCTTATCCCATGTTAAATTTAACTACCTTCCTTGTCTGGATTGGCAGATACAAATAATAAACATGCACCATTTTGTAGTCTTCGTGCAGCCCTTAATCGAGAGGCATGCATGGAAATAGCATCTCACCTCACCAAATGATTCAGCAGGTAGGAAAGCTGGGCTAAGTCAGAGTTGATCCCTGGTAGTCAGGCAGGGCTCTTACAGGCTTGTAACAGGTAGATTGGTAGTCAATCCAACGGAAGGAACGTAGTGCCCTGCTCTCTCCAGCAATCTTCCCACCGTAAACTTGCGCTCGCGCCCTGAGCCCGACCCAAGGCTATCTATCCGCCCGACCCCAGTTGGATCTACGCCAAAGTCCTGCCCAAATTGCGGGACCCAAAGTCTGAAATCCAGCCTCTCAGCTAGTTTGAACCCTCCAGTCTTTTCCTACACCAGCACCTCCATAAATATCATCCCGCTGGGACCGCTGACACAGCACCGCACCTTTATACGCATTCACATGCCACATGCAAACATCATCATCTACGTTTACATGCCTCTACGAGTATTTGTTTAAAAGCATTACCCAAGGCCACATATGGGGTAATTTATATGCAAACCTGGCGGTGAAAAAGAAATTGCTTTGTACATTGCAGATTTAATACTTATAAATCAGAAATAAATTTAAATGAGATTTACTAGTTACTTTCATCTCTATGAATAAAAAAATGAAAATATTCCATGTGCTTTTATATTAAGTAATATATTCATTAGGTGTCGGCAAACTGCAATCCAATAGTCCATCCACCGTTCACAGCGCGCTGGGCCTTACCCTGGTCCACCGTCTCGAAGTTTCGGAAACGGTGGAGAGCGCGGTGGTTTAACGCGTGTGGGGTGAGTCGGTTGGAGGCATTTTCAGTGGGTGTTGGTACGGACATGAAGTCTGGTGGGAATTATCGCTGAGAGACCAGTTGACAGGAGGGGCTGAGAGAGAGGTCCTGTTGCAGTGCTGCGGACAGTTCCAAGGGGTGGGAGGAGGCCGAAGCTGGTAAGGTAGGTTGGGACAATTGGCTATGCTTCTAATTGGGATAGTCCTCGAGATAGCAACTCTCTTCCTAAGCTCGTGTCATTACATATCTCTCGATTACGCTTGAACCAGGGGTTAGGTTTCTATTCAGTTTAAAGACCTTGAAACCTCCTTGCCCCCAAACTTTGGGTAAAAAGCACCAAATCTAGTTATTGCCTTTTCCGTACTTTTTGTTTGTAGGCTGAGCTACGCATCAATACAAACCAGCACCCCAACTATTGTTGTGTGATTGTGCCCCTATGTTGAGCTGAATGCTGGCAAGTATGTCTGAAACTGTTTTAGATACTTACAATACCACGTAATATCATTGTGTACAATTTTTATTATTAAATAACTACCCCTGGCCCAGCCTGCAAAAAATGGGAGATTTTTAATTGATCTTGTTGGGGCAGGGCTTTTGTCTCACCTTTTGCAGACTCACCTGTGGCCCTGTCTTATCTCTGGATATGTGTGTATTCTCATTTGGGCCATTCTTACATGGTCCAGATTTAGGCATAACAATAAGTAGCCTTCCTCTTGCTTCAGCACCTGTGAAGTTGCTCCAGTGGAGGCTCAGAGTGCATGGGGTTAGTTCTGATACCAGCTACAAATATGGCTTTGAGCGGGCGTGATTTCAGTTCCGGGATGATTCGGGTGTTTAAAAAACCAACTGAGATGAAGTCAGTTGTTTAAATGCAGACAATGTTCACATGTAAGGCACTGAAGCAAGCATCAGCTATGATGAAACAAGCTCACTTATAGCTGTTGGTATGGTTTTAAGTGGAAAAGACTGCTTTACTGGAGCAGTCTTAGTGCAAAGAATCATGCTGTTTGAGACAGCACATTCTTTGTTAAGTAAACATGCTTCTCAATGTATCATGGTTTGATTACATTATGGTGCCTTGCACAAAATGGACAGATCTAACAAGCAGTGGTATATTTTGAAATCCTGCTCAGAGGGCTAGGTATGAATGTCTGGGCAATTGTATTTGTCTTGGCCTTGATCACCACATGGTTTATGGGATGGCAGGATTTTAATGATATCATTATGATGTCATGAATGTCAAGGTGACTGAAATATTATTAGTAGCATACTCTTCCCAATTTTTGTTGGTGTTTAGCTCAGAAACTAGAGGGGCTTAAGTCTTAAGTAGGGAAGGGTTGGGAACAACACTGAAAGGTCTTTGAGACAGCTATTTCAGCTCAAAATTCCATATAGATGTGGAGGTACTCTTGTCAAGGAAGCAAAAAACTTTGAGGGTGTTTTTAATCAATAGATCATTTTGTTGTCAATATGATTCCTATGTTAGAGTATGTTCTGTTCTTCCATGCATTTGACATTTACAGTTGGAACACCTGTGACAAGACAGCTTACATGTTATTGTATTGACCTAATTATAACCTCAGCTCACAGCAAAGAATCAGCTCAATCAGCTCTCCTGTTATGTATGAAAAGTGATGTTAACTGTCGCAGAATATGATTATGTGGAGTCAAGTTGTATAATCACCGCACCATTGCTGACACATTTATTGACAATATCGCTTGACCATGGTTTCAGGCTGTCAGATCCGCGCCTAGCTGCGACACGGGGAGCGATGTCCGGAGACGACCGCCGTAACCGGGTGCACGACATGCAGGGCCTGCTGCGCCTCGGCCTGCAGCACGGCGCCGCCGACGCCGCGCCTGCCGCGGCGCTCATGGACGACGAGCGGCGCCAGTTTCTGGCGGCCGCGATGCGCGACGCGTCGACCGGCGTGGCCGAGACGCTGCACGCCGCGCTCGCCGCGCTCGCCGACCCGGACGCCGAGCGCCAGCTGGCGGCGCTGCGCGTGCTGCGCGACAACGTCGACAACGTCGACATCGCCAACGACTTCGAGAAGATGGGCGGCCTGGGCGCCGTGCGCGGCCTGCTGTCGAGCGGCGACGGCGAGGTGCGCGCCGCTGCCGGCGGCGTGCTCGCCGACATGCTGCAGAACAACCCGCACTGCCAGCGAGCGGCGGTGGAGGCCGACCTGCTGCCGGCGCTGCTGGAGGTGGTGCAGCAGGACGCCGAGCCGGCGGCGCGTGTCACCTCGCTGCAGGCCGTCTCCGGCCTGCTGCGCCACAACCCGCCCGGCCAGGCGGCGTTCTGCGCGCGCGATGGCTGCGCGGCGCTGGTGTCGGCCATGCAGAGCGACCAGCCGCGCCTGCAGACCAAGGCCGCCTTCCTGCTGGGCACGGTCTGCGCTGAGAGCGGCGAGCTGCGCCGCACCGCGCTGGCCGTCGGCCTGGTGGAGCAGCTGTGCGGTCTGCTGGCCGCGCCGCACGCCCCATGGCACGAACACCTGCTAGCCGCGCTGGTCGTGCTGGCCGCCGACGGCGAGCAGGCGGCAGCTGAGTGCCGCCGGCCGGAGCTGCGGCTGGCCGAGCAGCTGCGCCTGCGCGAGCAGCAGCTGCGCGGCCTCGAGGAAGAGCGCGAGACGCTGGAGCACTGCCGCACACTACGGCAGCTCTGCTTCTCCGGCGAAGAGGGCGAGCGGTAGCCAGCCGACGCGGGACCACCGCCTGCAGCCGCACGTTGGGCTCGGATGGGGATTTGTCAGGCCCTGTTCTCTATCGCGCATGCGTGTAACCAATGTTTGCATTGAGCATATTGCTTTGTACTGACTTGCTGGAAGTGCTTGCTTGGGTGCGTCCTTTTTGTGGATGTTCAAGTGCGGAATGTTATCAAGTCGAAATGTGCAGGTTCTGGTATGTTTCGATGTAGGCTTTTGGGCCTTCGTCTGATTGTTGATGTTCAAACATGGAGGTTGTACTGGAGTTCGCAGATCTGTGGCGGTTGTATGAAGACTGCGTAAGGCCACGGATACTTTGCATTAGGCATGGTAATTGACTGCCCCGCACGCTCTCCTGTGCGAAAGCACATTGTTGCTCGTTATTTGCGTTGCGATGATATATTTCTCGGAACGTTTTGTTCAAAACAAAGCCGGGTTGATGTTACGTCTGTGCTCTTCAGTCACGGTACTCATGGTCTGAGCCGAGCATCTGTGCCGCCGAACGTGAACTCGGGAGCGTAACTTTGGAAAATATACCCGTAAGGCCGACCGCAACACCCGGCTTTGGGATTTATGAGATTGTATGGCTGGTTCTACCCAGCTGCAATATTTGCGGGTTCCAGTCCGCTTCAGGCTCTCATTGTGATCTAAGTGCTTTCGGAGAAACGGCTGCGACCTCCGCGCCGTGCCACGTGGGAGGGGGGGGGGGGGGGCGGCAGGATTAGGCGGGCGCTTCTGTGGCGTGCTGTAGTCCTAGCCGCGCAGAAAATTGTGCATGTTCGTGAACCTGGGATTAGCTTGTAATGATTTCTGACGCGCGGATGTATGGCCGGTAAAGGTGTTATTAAGGTAATGAAAGGCGCAGACATTTCGACCCACCTGACCAGTTGGTGCGCCCGTAGCAGTCCGGCGCTACTCGCATCTAATACCATTTGGACATTGAAGAGATGGCGTGTTTGATATCACCCGAAGAGGACACCCAGCCAGTGGTGGTGGGTTGACGGGAATGTTTTTGATTGGGGGAGGGGGCTGCGGGTACGGCTCCATATACGTAGCAGCAGCAGAGCAAAGATGTAGCAGCAGAGAGTAAAGCTGACCGCTATCATACATTCTCTGTAGGTGTCCGCTACCGTCTCTCACCGCCACCTATATCGATGTGCTAATATAGGTGACGCTCTCAGTCGGGAGGGATAGGCGGCCGGCGCGCAGTACTGCAGCTTTAACACGTTTGTGTTCAAGAGCGGCATATTTAGAAGGGCGTCATGCTGCCAGGCAGTTTATATGTGGTGGGGTTACTCTGCAAAGTAATCGGTGTAGCATGTTGGCCAGTACCATTTATTTTCACTGGAGGGTGAAGGTAACATATTTAGCTCGTTAGCATCAAAGCTTGGTTGATCAAACCAAAAATTGTTAAATCGTGTGGTTAATGAAGGGGCTGTCATGGGCTATACAAAGCTCGTTCCGAGAAGGCGGCCAATGCGGCGCGAGTGATGCGTCACCAGTCGCGGGCCTCCTGCGCTGATTGAGACGAGTTGTTCCGCACGGGGCAAAAATAGATCGGGCACCGCATCCTTGCAGAGCTGGCGAGTGGCAGCTGGGCGGAGGTCGGGCTGACGAGGTGGGCGACGAGAACAAACAGGAATAGCTCCACGAACCCAGCGCCGCAATGTCAGTCATCACAGGAGCG